CTCAAATACCTGTACTTTCTACTTCTTACATGTTGAACTCAAATACCTGTACTTTCTACTTCTTACATGTTGAACACAAATACCTGTACTTTCTACTTCTTACATGTTGAACACAAATACCTGTACTTTCTACTTCTTACATGTTGAACTCAAATACCTGTACTTTCTACTTCTTACATGTTGAACTCAAATACCTGTACTTTCTACTTCTTACATGTTGAACACAAATACCTGTACTTTCTACTTCTCTCATTTTCCAAACAGGCTGGTTCCTTTAGTCTGAATGTGTGTTTGGTGGCGTGATCATTATTATTTAGAGTCATTGCGTGCCTATTGATTTGAACACGATCCGTGTATCCATCATTTCCTGGTCTTCTCTAAAGAAGAGGGACCAATGAAAACGTTGTCATGTTGCCGTTGGTCACCATGGAAACATTCATTAGCTAACAATGACATTATTGTTCTATTAATATAAAGGGAGGTCAGGTACTCTTTAAAACAGCTGCTAGTTACGGGTACTTTTTACTGAAGTACATTTCAAAGCCCCTTTACTTTGACTTGAGTAAAGAAGTTTAGTCAGTACTTCTACTTTCACCAGAGTATTTTTAAACACGAGTATCTGTACTTCTACTTGAGTAAAGGATGTGTGTACTTTTGACATCTCTGATAAGTAGTAATATAGTGGTAACTGCTACAAATGATTGCTCTGTCAGAATATATCTTCTGCCACTATATGAGCTCACCTGTTATAACGTCATCAGTAACATCATCAGGAGATGAGGGACCTGCCGCTGCTCCAGTATCTGTGGCTCTTTCTGAAACTAAAGGCCATGTGTTTCATGATGTTAAGCTCATTTTGATGTCATATGACATATTCATGTTATCCAAAGCAGATATGCTCCACAATAGATTCCTGGCTGACTGCCTTCAATCGAAACAACGGCTGAAACTATTCTTAAACTGTGTTGGTTGCGTTGCTCACATTCCTTTTGAAATAAATGTGTTAGAGGCTGTTTTCCCTCAGTTTGCTTTCTTTCTCTTTAATTTCTTTTCTTTCCTTTTTTGATACCCCGATGTTCCTTTCTTGAGGAAAGGACAGCCTGTCAGTGGGGGTTCTAGAAACTGCATTTTCGACACCGACACTAACTAAACAACTGAGTTATGAAATGTCCAAATATTCTTAGTGACCTAATTGTTGTTAAATCTACTGGGTGGGTGGTGCACTGCTGGAGGTCCGGACTAATGTTTGTGTTTGTAAAACCCTGGCTACAGCCCTTGCTTACTCTTTATAGATACCAGTTAATATTTCACTTTAATTACGTTAAAGGGGTTTGATTTGACATTTTGGGAAACAGAGCGTGTTTCTCAAACAAAGACTTATGGTGTGTTTGAAGAGAAAACATGCAGTATTTTCCTAAATAGAATTGAAGGGATGAAACCCTCTTTAATGGTCACACATGCAGAGCACACAGCACACAGAGTGACATTTGGCCTCTGCTTTTAACCCATCCTAGTACCAGGAGTCTAGCACTAGGAGCAGTGGGCAGCTATTGTACAGCGCCCGGGGAGCAATGGGAGTGAGGGGGATGTCCGGTGCCTTGTTCAAGGGCACCACGGCAGGGCAAGAGGTGAACTGGGACCTCTCCAAGTAGCAGTCCACACTCCATATTTTCGGTCTGGTCGGGGACTTGAACCGGCGACCCTACAGCTCACAGTCCAAGCCCCTACTGACTGAGCCACTGCCGGACACTACCTATAGGTGAGATTTCACTTCATTAGCTTGCTGTTACATTACACACAGTCTTTTGGTCCAGCTGACTGAAGCCCATTCATGTGTGAATAAATTGGCTGCATGTCTGTGTGCCAATTATCAGATGTATGTGAATAGAAATGCCAACACACCCTGTCTGAGTTTTCTATGCTTTGCATTAAAATACTTAATCCTTCTAAAATAGCATTGAGTTTATAATACTATGTATTCACTTTAATGTGGTACAGAAATTTATTTTAATAAAGCTTTCCTTATATGAGATGAGACCATGTCTAATCAGCTTAGCACCAACAACCTGTATACTGTAAGCCAAGATTAATGTAGTCAGGTGTATGCAAAACAAACAAATGTAATCAGTATCAATACAACATTTTGTTGAAATATTTAATATAGCCCTTCGGCAAACTGCAATTAAATGTATTTCTCCTCTTCTGTATTTTATCCTACAGAAGGAGAAGATTAGGAATTGCTTTCACAATTCATCCTTGTTAGTGGGCTTTAGTTCATTTGGTCTACAAGCAAGCATTTCAAAAGAAAACAACGTGAGTAGCTTTATTTAACTTTGAAAAAGATGTGTAACAAAATGAGGTTTATAACTGGTTCTTTTCAGCATTGTAGCCCTTACAAAACCGTGACACATTGTTGGCAGAGAGAGTGAAAATAGTGAGATCGTTGTTGCTTTGTCTCTGGCCTCCCTGTGAGTATTGTATGAAATACAGCAGTGAGTGTTTTGGAGGAGGGAGAAAGCTGTTCCACCATCCACTGCCAAGCTTTATCAGATCAATCCCTTCCACATTGACAATCTGTTTCATGTAACAATTCACAAATTGCTTCTAAGATTAATCAGAAAGAATTATGGCCAGGTGTTTGTGCATGTGTTGCTTTCACCTTCCATATTTCCAATCCTTACAAAGGGGGAAGATAGCCATTTCCAAGCTGTGATCCTTTTATATCTATGATATGATATGAAATGATTTGTTTTACATGGACAAAGAATGGAGGTTGAGACAGATGCAGGACAATAAATCAACATCTAAATGCCATCCTTCTAACTTGCTAACAGTGACAACGCTAACAAGCAGACGATGCATACCAACTTTGGTCCAAAGTCTGGGGTAACAGGAATATCAAGTTACTATACAAAATGCTCTGGCAATACATTCAATAATTGTTGAGATATTTCTAATTTTGTTTGAGCATGAGATCTTTACTTCAGATGTTCTTCTGAGTGAACAGCAGATTTAACACAATTCATTTTATGTAACACAGTATACAGTAGGGCAAAAAAGTATTTAGTCAGCCACCAATTGTGCAAGTTCTCCCACTTAAAAAGATGAGAGAGGCCTGTCATTTTCATCCTAGGTATACCTCAACTATGGGAGACAAAATGAGAAAAGAAAAATCCAGAAAATCACATTGTCTGATTTTTAAAGAATTTATTTGCAAATTATGGTGGAAAATAAGTATTTGGTCAATAATAAAAGTTCATCTCAATACTTTGTTGTATACCCTTTGTTGGCAATGACAGAGGTCAAACGTTTTCTGTAAGTCTTCACAAGGTTTTCACACACTGTTACAGTGTGTGAAAACCTTGTGAAGACTTACAGAAAACGTTTGACCTCTGTCATTGCCAACAAAGGGTATACAACAAAGTATTGAGATGAACTTTTATTANGTGTGTGTGTGTGTGTGTGTGTTGTTTTATATTTGTGAATATGTCTGGGTGTTGCCATCTGTACGTGGCGGCGCTGCATTCTTTACGCTACTTACGTTGCTATGGTTACGGTGGCGATGCCGGCGCGGTATTTGAAATGTTCATATTGATATTTTTTTAACTCTGGCTGTGTAATAAAAAATATGGCAAAACGAAAACAGCCAAGCGTCACAGCTTTTGGATTCACAAGCAAAGAAGCGAAGGAGTCTAAAAATGACAACGTGAACGAAACAACTTTGAGTTGGCCGGCTGTAAGCGGCGTTAGGGTCGAGTTTGACAGCTCCACACCGAGGGAGAGGCCTGCCGATGCGGAGCCTGAAGACGCTTCAACAACGGCCACAGCCGCCGGCGTAGTGACACGTCTGTAGTACACTGTCTGTAGTACACTGTCTGTAGTAACACTGTCTGTAGTAACACTGTCTGTAGTGACACTGTCTGTAGTAACACTGTCTGTAGTGACACTGTCTGTAGTAACACTGTCTGTAGTAACACCGTCTGTCTGTAGTGACACTGTCTGTAGTGACACCGTCTGTAGTGACACTGTCTGTAGTAACACTGTCTGTAGTGACACCGTCTGTAGTGACACCGTCTGTAGTGACACCGTCTGTAGTGACACCGTCTGTAGTAACACCGTCTGTAGTAACACCGTCTGTAGTAACACTGTCTGTAGTGACACCGTCTGTAGTAGTAGCAAAGTGATTTTATAGCAATTGATGGAGAGCGTGCGTGTGATATATTTAGTAGCAGGATGTGCTCTGAAAAATAGGGCTCCCCCGAAAGCAAAGGGTAATTCGAACACTGGTGAGGTGTATGTGTTCAACCTTTTCTTCTCATTTCTAGACATGGACATTACCTTAATTATTATGTATCTGCTTGGCTAGTAAATTCTTAAGGGCGCTGCCTCTCGCCCTGAGTGTTTATACAGTTTACTAATGCTCTACTAGTTTTGGACTATTAAACCTGCTTGTTTCATGATTCTCTTTGTTGAGCTTTGATCAGCAAATAAGTCTAAACTGAATATATTTGAATTCACAGATATGCCGCGTAGACTTATTTCCATTAGCGGAAGACACTACCTTTTGGGGTTGTAGATCTTAATGGAGTCGTCCAGCAGGGCTAGAGCAAACTTATCTGCGTGGGGGTGCCAGGCGAAGGCTCGCACCACACAGTCCGACCTGGTGAAGCAAGAAGGCAACTTGTTTCAGTCAAGCAACAGTTAAAATACTCAAAAGACATTCAGTTAGCGTTCATGGAACTCAAGCAAACACAAATGATTTTTACATTTAAAAACCTGAAACCTTCAAGAAATTACTTCAAATTATAATTGTCACAATTCTGGAGGATAAATGTTCTGATGATTCACAAATATGAATCAAATAATTGTTCCAGTTAAAGTTAAACTGTGTCGCCAGTATGTCTGCTCACCACTTGCTCATAATAAATAGAATCCTTCATTTGCCCTTTGAGAGCTAAAATAAACTACACATAAAACAATGTAACACTTACCAGTTGAGCACTTGTGAAAACTCAGCCAGCATGTCCTCACTGCTCATCTACACAGCGACAGGTAAAAAGATGTTCAGTAAATGCATCACAACAACTATCTGTTAATCAAGTGTGAAGAACATATATAAGTAACTCACTGTGAGATGAGGAAACAGGGAGCCGTGGAAGGAGGAGAACCACCGGATCAACGCCAGCGTGAAGCCAGAACTCACTGACATCCATTTAGGCACTGCAAGGACACAAGATGCAGGAGAGGGCATGTATAAACATCAGCGGGTATGACGGATCTCTTCATTAAGTGTTCAAATAATCTGAATATGTTGGCGTACCTTCTGTATTTGAGTTGGTAATTTCGTCCAGTAGCCCTGTGAAACCACCATCCCGCCTGAAATGGACAAATAAGAAGCATAAATAACCGTAGTCTGTAAAAGATGAGGCAAAATGTTGATATTACAGCATACAGTGTTATATGATTTTATGCAAAACAGTGTTGGAATACTGGCTCAGATATTTGTGTATGTTGTTAAAGTGTGAAAAAAGGAGTTTGATCCAATTTGACTTGATGTTGTTTAATACGTTGGGTGTACTTTCTTTGCACGCATATAATTGTGGGCTTCATCGTGTGTGTGTGTGTGTGTGTGTGTGTGTGTGTGTGTGTGTGTGTGTGTGTGTGTGTGTGTGTGTGTGTGTACCTGGGTCTGAAAGAGTGTGTGTGTGTGTACCTGTGTGTGTGTGTGTGTGTGTGTGTGTGTGTGTGTGTGTGTGTGTGTACCATGCTGCTGCGCTCCTCATCCACAGTGTTTCAGAGTGGTCCAGGAAGGCTGCCTTACTGCTGCTTTCTGTGCGACAGTGGAGCTTCAGAGACTCTCGGGGGAAATACAAACTCAGAGGACTCGACTCCTGAAGAAGACACACAACCATGAAGCTTTTACCAGGCAAGTAGGAAAACACAAGCAGTGACAGGTGAGAGAATATCATCACATGCATAACTCTTCAATGTGTAACTACTCTAAATGTGCCCAATGCTGTGAGAAAAAGGTTATTTATCCTTAAAATATATGGTATAAATTGGACGTCACTATGTCACATGACAGAGAATATTTTGAAAAGACTCAATAATATAATAATAATAATGTATGTTGTATTATCACCAACATATGAATAATTCACTAATATGAGTGACTGGATCACATGACATGAAAGCTATTGACAAAACATAGTCTATCTTCAATTCCTGACATACCATTACTCAAAAGGTTTCCCATAAGTTTAATTCATGTTTTTTTTCAAGTACAGTATATGTAAGTATTGAAAATAATATTGGTGTTATACGAACATGTAATGATGGTCCCTGAGTGAAAGCCTGTGTTTAGGAGCAAGGGCTCAGCTGTGAACTAACCTTCCTACAGTACATTGAGTGAATGTCTCAGGTTATGGTATATCTAAAAGGTCTCTGAAGTGACACCAACAGCTTTGAATAAGAAGACATCTTGTCTTTTAACGTTATTAATTCATATTCATACACAGGCTCTGAATCCGACCTGTTTGAGTCGGTGTTCCGTGGAGCCTCCTCCGGACAGCAGCTCGTTGTTGGACTCGCACAAAGTGCTCTGTCCGGCGGGCAGAGGAGCGGGGAACAGCGCCAGAGAGCACATCTTCAACACGGGGAAACCACTGGAAACACACCATGGGTCAGTCAGGTAAACACAGAAAAGTGGATGATATGTTCCATTCTTAACAGCAGACTGTGGCAAACAAATAGCTAGCTACCTTACACTAACAGTTAAAGTTAGCTAGCTGGCTCAAGCTAACCTAACTAGTTTGATATCGGCTTAGTTATGACAACATAAACCGTAGCTCTTTGTTTTATATGTGCTAGAAGTTACCTTGTATTGTGTCCTGCGTAGTGTGGTCAATTATAGTCCTTTGTGTTTCCAAACAACAAGATAAAAGTGCATGCTGAGTTGTTGTGACACTTTTTTAGGTTGCTTTTTCAGTTAATCGCGCCGTGTGGACTACAGCAAGCGAGAGGGACAAACAGTGCGGAGTTCGGCTACATAGCGACGCTATGCTGCCCTCTTCAGGACACAGAGCGACATGACATCTGCACTTTCCCAAAACACACACCAAAGGTTTTTTTAAAGAGTTGAGATGACACAAACAGTCCTTTTACTTAACTGAAAAATAGTTTTAATCAACAGAAATCTTTCCGGTAATGTATTTGCTCCATGTAAACCGTTTATTAACTTGTCCACATTAACTAAACTAAATTAGGCATGATGTGTGATTAAATAAACACAATAATAATGCTGTCATTATCAAAATCATCTTGACCAACTATGTTTACGTATATTAGACATTTATGGCAATGCTTTAAGAGTCCTTTCTTGTACATAAAATACACAAAACTGCTGGGAACAAGGGAAACAAACCTACATAAAGGTAAGGAACAGACAAGTCTACCATGTACACAAGTATTTGGAAAAAATAGGCATAAACGTATGTGAATATTATATAAACTAATGTAAAAAGCACAAATGACCTACAATTAAATCAAATGGAAAATGTCTGTTGTGTAAACTATACAACTGGTGCAAAAAACACTGAAAGCACATTCATGGACTGTACAGTATGGCTTATTACGTACAGATTACTTAGCAAGTAGGATTTATTTTCACAGTGAGAGATTATATTTATACAAATGTGTTCATTTAAAAACTGTAATATTATAATTTGAGCAGGGGATGTTTTAGCGTTACAGGGGTTTTAATGGGTATTTCCCTCCTCTTCACCAGGGAAGGTCAAAGCAAATAGACAGTTGCACCCCAGCCTCCCTGGAGCGAGCTGGCAGGGATCCAGTGTGTCTTGCTCAAGGACACATCAGCAGCAACAGCAGGGTGGATGCTGGCTGACACATTGTAAGATAAGAGATCAGATGAGATAAGTGACTGTATTATCATCCATCTATACAGAGTGCAGTACATAGAGGGAAACAATTGTGTTCCCCTGGTTTCGTTGCAAAACAAAAGAATGAACAAATCAGGTGGAAACAACATAATACTAAAACAGGCACATAATAAGATACAAAACAATGTTCAATAATTCATGTATGTGTCACAATTACAGAACAATATAGATAGCCAATTTAAATAAAGCTAGTGTTATTAAATGTAAACAAATAGCATCATGCTGGTTAACGCTCAAATTAAAATAATGGATGTTATGATGGAAAACTGAAGCCGCGTGCATGTGTGTTTCTGTGTCTGTGTTTGTGCGCGCACGTGTGTTTGCAGAGGGTGGTGGGAGCGCCCCCTCGCGGCGCAACTTGCATTTCCGTGACGTCAATTCAGCACTGGAAAAGAGACAGCTCCCTCCCCCAAAAAACCCAGCGCGCCTCACGTTGCATGGGTCCTCGGTTATTGATAACACAATTTGCCCGGTGGGATCCATCCCGGTTGTGTGAAACGCGTGGATACAGGGACTGGAGATACAACAGCCAGCGCGCACCGAGGGAAAAACAACAATCTACTCATTAACACCGACAAATATAAAGCCGAGCCCACCCCCTTCACTTGACAACGCGACATCGAGCAGGCAGAAAGGTATGGGAATGTCATACTATACGGTTAAATGCTGGTGCGATAAGAAATCATGGATCACAGGACGTTAAGTTATGATGCTCGGTGCGGTGGCGTTCACGCCGCTCACACTGCACCAATGAACCGATGCTGCCAAGAAAGAAATCATCGTCTATGGTTGCTAGAAAATCATATTTGTGCAGCAAGAAAGCCCACATTGCGAAATGTTTGTGTGCCAACGTTGAGTAAACGTTGAGACGCTGCGGCAGTTTCACTTGGCATGGACTATAGTAGGCATCGGGCTCATGCACGTCGGTTATGATGCTGCTGAGTGTCATCATCACATCCTCGGTTATTTAAAGATTGATCTTCCTGCGTTTGTGTTTGTGTGTTTGTGTGTGTGTGTGTGTGTGTGTGTGTGTGTGTGTGTGTGTGTGTGTGTGTGTGTGTGTGTGTGTGTGTGTGTGTGTTTGTTTGTGTGAGAGAGAGCACTGCTCCTTTGCACAGGCCTGCTGGTTGTTTATTGCCCATTTTATCCACACTTTCATTTCGCTCGGTCGTCATGGCTCTTCTCGTGCAGTGGTGCAGTACAAGAAATGGAGCTGGTGTGAGAAATGTGAATTGGGTACATGTGCTCTCTCTCTCTCCTTGTCGCTCTCTCACACACTTGCAGGCACTCACGCACGGGACGTACGTACACATCCACACTGAGGTGGTTATGCAATTCGTCATATTCTTCAGATGCACACAATGCTCTTTACATGATGCACGAAATATGGAGCTGAGAGTATAGCTTTGCTCAGATGTTGTCAGATACTGATGTTAAATCACAGGTGATGGACTGTGTGCTGCACAACCTCCTCTGGTAGATTCATTCATAAACCTCCTACTCCACTCTGGCTGATGGCTCCACTGGGCATGATGGCTTTTCAATTCACAGAGAAAGAGGTTTTACTGCAGGATTCAGACAGAACCTGGATGTGGTTAAACTGGGGGACTGGCTAGATGCCCAACTCACTGCACGACTCCACTCATTGATTGCTGTGCATGGTTTGAATAAAAGTAAAATTATTGCGAACGCCAGTCATTTCTTAAAAGATCAAAGGAGACAGTAGAAGTGAAGGGAGCCGCAGCACTGGCCAGCTCCAGCTGCATTGTGGAGCTGACTAATCGACAGTTTTAAATCTAATAAGCAGTCAGCATTCACAAACTTTAATATAACATATGATTATACTGACAATTATTAATTGGGGATGAAGATCTCTTACTTAAGTTAAATACAAGTCAAATGCCCTTAAATACTAATAGCAAAAGTAATCATACTTAGGCCTATTTCAGAATAATATACTTCATTTTTTTTTTTTTACTACATATGATTCAAGGTAGCTTGTCAATGTCACAGAGGTTTTAAAAAGTGTTAGCTTAACTTCTAATAATGCCTATTTGTTGACTACATTTTGTATTGTTGATCTGAATCTTCAAGTTACCCATAATGTAAAATCAAAGGGGTGGAGTATAAAGTAACATTTTTGCCAGATGCAGTGGAAGTATAAAGTTACATGGAAAACTTAAACTATATACTATAAATCATCCTAATGTTATCATAAATCTTCTCCTCCAGGCAAACATCTCATCTTTCCATCCTCCACCCTAACCTGCCGTGTTGGGGATACCCCTAATGAGTGGGACCTGTATCCATGAGCCCCGCGCCCCTTCCCCCTCCCTGTCAGGCTTCAGCACCCCCATCTCAGAGCCCTCCTATCGAAGAATCGATGGAGACACCCCTGCCTGCACCCCTGAAACGGACCTGACGCCCACACAGTGTGTCATCCGCAACCTGCTGTCCATCGACACCGGTGGACCGGGGGCTCCGGGCGGCAGCAGCCCCACCCCCAGTGATGGACCCTCAGCCTACTTTGACAACAGTGTGCTAAAACTACATGAACATGAGGCCTGCCAGTGTGGCGGGGGGGCGGAGGCGGGCCACAGTCCAGAGGCTGGGGCTGTTCGGAGCCAGTCGGATAACATTCGGCTGCAATCAGGAAGCGGAGGTTTTTTGGAGGGGCTGTTTGGATGCCTTAAGCCGGTCTGGACCATGATTGGAAAGGCCTACTCCACTGAACACAAACACAGCCATGAAGGTATGTGACAGCAAGTGATACACTTCTGAGCTCTCTGACCCGTATGCCATGCAACAAAGACTATTTAGATTTAACATAAATTACATTGATATTTAATAGATTGTTGTTGATGCATCCATGCATGATTAGCTGGTACAGGAGGACATCATTGATCTTTATCAACTTGCAGTTTTATCTAGTGTGTTCCAACCTAAGGGGTTGGGCAAGATAAGGTGAAGGGGTTGTGAGAGAATTCATGGGAACCTTTTCTGATCTTTCCCTTTCTGTTTTGTTAAATATCGGATGGCCTAACATTGGATTGTGTGTGGTGGAACAACCTGTGGACACAAGCTCGAGAGTTTAGGAGGCATTTATTTAATCTTAAACAATATTGTCAAAGCTCATCATATATTTTTTAAAATATAAATCTAATCTTAAAGTAACCATCAATTACAGCTGTAATAAAAATGAAGTGGCGTAAAAACTACAATATTTAGATCCAGAATGTAGTGGAATAAAAGTGTAAGGTAGCCAAAAAAACAAATACTGAAGTAAGAGAACATAAAATGTGTACTTTAGCGCAGTACTTGAGTGAATACACTTTATTTCACTAGAGGAGTGGGGGTCATTCACAGTAGCAGCGCACAGTGATTTTCACAGCTGGCCCGGATGGGGGCATCCTGTGCATCCTGTGCATCCTGTGCATCTGCCCCCGCCGTAGCTGCTCTCCAGATCTCGACACTTCAGTGGACCTCATGAAGAATTGATCCGCCTGTCGTCTTTATTCTGCCCATCTCTCTTCAGCGACTGTACTCACAGTCGATTAACTCACGTCAGTGTGACAGATGACTGAAAGATTAGACTATGAGAAAATTGTTTCTCCCTCAAATGTTCCCTCATCTCTGGACAGAAATGTAATATTCTACTGAAGAACTTATCAGTGTAGCATTTGTTTGAACATGGCAGGCACTTCATATGCTGTCATTGTGTCCGGCCAGCCCATTCTTATGTGTAGCATGGAGCTAACATTTGCTCAGCGAGCCCCCTCTCTGCCAGGAGTGCATATTGACATTTAGAGGCTTTGTAATGTCTGACGGATATGAAATAGGTAATTACTCAAAGGATGCTGCTAAAGAATTATCTCTTACAATGCCCGTGATAATACTGTATAACACTACATGCCTTCTCCATGTATTTATTGCATTTTTTTGTGGACTTATTGGTCTGAGTTTAGAGTCCTGGGAAGTTCCCTTTGAGGAGATCTCCGACCTGCAGTGGGTGGGCAGCGGGGCGCAGGGGGCCGTCTTCCTCGGCAAGTTCCACGGAGACGACGTGGCTGTAAAGAAAGTGCGAGACATCAAAGAGACCGAGATCAAACACCTCCGCAAACTCAAGCACCCCAACATCATCACTTTCAAGTGAGGAAGAAGCACATGATATCCAACAGTATCTTTAAGCTGCATTCATATCTTTCTCTGTTCACCTGGGCCATGTTATCTGACTGCCATGTCTTCCTACAGGGGCGTGTGCACCCAGGCTCCTTGTTACTGTATCTTGATGGAGTACTGTGCCCAAGGCCAGCTGTACGAGGTGCTGAGGGCGGGCCGGAACATCGCCCCCTCCCTCATGGTGGACTGGTCCATGGGCATAGCAGGTGGCATGAACTACCTGCACCTCCACAAAATCATCCATCGAGACCTCAAGTCCCCCAAGTAAGTCTCAATCAGCCAACACAAGACCTCAAGGTTCATATAGTGACAGTTTGTCAACATGAAAACAACTGCATATAGATTTACAAGAGGCGCAGCAAGACGGGATTGCATAACATATTTGAGGCAATTTGCATTCTCTGTTTAAAGATAAACTTAAATCAAACTACATCTCAGCAACTATTTGAGAAAGCCACAATCAGCGGCTGGTGAAATATGGCTCTGTAAAAAAAGTAAATTGCACAATGCTGTCCTCGGTCTGTCTGTAGTGCTGAACGCATGTTTTTTGTTGTTGGAAAAATAGCCTCTTCATAAAGTACATCTTATATTAACTCTGAAGCATTTACAGCAATGTTTATTAATGTGCGATGTCCTTGTTAAATAGACTAATACAACTGATTTCTAGTTATTGCCATGTAAAAGGACATGTGTTCCCACGTTTGCAGCATGCTGATCACACACGATGACCTGGTGAAGATCTCTGACTTCGGCACCTCGAGGGAGCTCAGGGACAAAAGCACCAAGATGTCGTTCGCCGGCACCGTAGCTTGGATGGCGCCTGAAGTCATTCGGAATGAGCCGGTGTCGGAGAAGGTGGACATCTGGTGAGTGTGATTACCAGGGACTTTGTTTCTCTCTTGCAAAAACATCAGCACTTTTCTCTTGACTTGATGCAGCAATTTAGCAATTATCTATAATGTGCTGCACCACAGTACGAGAGCAGCTCCTGTGTCGATATGGGGCCTTCTGTTTTCTTAGTGTTGTTGTTGTTGTATGTATTTGTGATTACTGTCATGACACCTATGTCTATACATTATAAACATACCACAGGAATTTTCATCTCTCACTTAAGGCACCAAATTAACACTTAGAGTAACGTATGATCACATAATGCATTAGAAAAAACATGATCTATTATAACATGCACATTTATTTTTGGGATTAAGCAGCAATTATGAAGAATAATGATACTTGATCTTATCTGTTATTAAAAAATGCTGTAGGTGTGTTGTGATTAGTGTTAACAGCATTATTCATATTTGATTGCTATGAGAAGACAGTGCTACAAGTAGATTATAAATGCATTATTTGGTTTTTTTACGATGCATTATAGATAAAATAGGCGTGATAAAAGTTATGACCAGTTCTTTCTCCGACCTCTTCTGTTAAAAAGATATTGACCTCAATGAGACTTTCGGAATTAACTTTAACTACCTTTACAGGGATCACATTGTGCTGGCTAATGGCTAAAACACCAGCACACACCAGCACACACCGGTTGTATAAGCTTTTGTGCGGTAAATGGCAAAAAACATCAGCACACTCCCCCCCCCCCCTCTGCCTCAAATGAACCTGAAAATAAGCATAATATGTCCTCTTTAAGGTCCTTTGGAGTGGTGCTGTGGGAGATGCTGACTGGAGAGGTTCCTTACAGAGACGTGGACTCATCTGCCATCATCTGGGGAGTGGGGAACAACAGCCTGCAGCTGCCCATACCTGAGAGCTGCCCCGACGGCTTCAAGATCCTCCTCAAACAGTGCTGGTGAGTAATGCCTTGGAATGGAGGACAAGGATGGAAAAAAGAATGAGCAGAGAAGAGAGGACAAGAGAGCAGAAATCGAGGATATTAGAAAAGTAAAAGCAACGTTGGAGAGTAGTTGTGTTAGTCTGTGGTTTAAGGACTTTATTGATGTTGCAGTGCATTGTAGATATACACAGCTGTCTTTCCTGTCTGGGATTTGCAGGAACTGTAAGCCCAGGAACAGGCCCTCTTTCCGTCAGATCCTTCTTCATCTTGATATAGCGTCAGCGGATGTGCTGTCCACTCCACAAGAGACGTACTTCAAGTCTCAGGTATGGTTGCTTCTTTCAAGCCTCAACACAAAAAACACATCTGTAACTTGAACATACAGATGTACACATGGACCCAGACAGGCTTAAGCATGAATAAGACTTGTACAACGTGCAGTAGAGAAGAGGTTTTAAAGTCCGTTATGGTGAACCGAGGCAAGGTTAACAGATCTGTGCTCTCATCAGGCTGAATGGCGGGAGGAGGTGAAACAGCACTTCGAGAAGATTAAATCTGAGGGTACTTGTATCCACCGACTCGATGAGGAACTGATCAACCGACGCAGAGAGGAGCTCAGGTCTGCTTTCTTTACTCTCGAATCTTGTAGTTGTATGATGGTACATTTGACTAGCTAACATGCATGCAGTAAGGCCACTTTCACTGTGTCCCATTTCTCTGTGTCATTCCTTTTGTCTGCCCACGTGGATGAGATAATGGCCTTGAGTGCATGTCTATTGTGGAGCATTTGGAGTCTCTCATGCGGATGCACAATGACAGCAGCAGCCTCTTGTCTTCTCAGGCATGCTTTGGACATTCGTGAGCACTATGAGAGAAAACTGGAGAGGGCTAACAACCTTTACATGGAGCTGAGCGCCGTCATGCTGCAGCTGGAGCTGAAAGAGAAGGAGTTGCAGAAGTACAAATAAACCCATGAACACAGAGTATACATTCTTTACGAAAGAATAAGCCACAGTGTGTTAAGAGTTTGTTGTCTTTTGGTATTCATTTCCAGGAGAGAGCAGTCTTTGGATAAAAAGTACCCAGGTTTGTTCAAGCATCACAGCTCCAGGCAGAGCAGCTCCTCCAACACCATGGACAAACTCATCAAGAAACGAAACGTCCCGCAGAAACTGCCCTCGGGAAAGAGGTGTGAGATCTTATTCCAGTGCTTATTTAGTAAAACATTGATGCTGACATGAATATTCATCACGCTTGTGGAATGTAGCTGTTGACTAATCCCTCTTACTCTTTCAGGCCAGACATTCTCAAGTCTGAGGTAATCCTTCCCAAAATGGACTCCTCTGTGATGCAAGTCACCATCCCGGCGTGCACCAACAGAAGCTCCACTTCTCCCAGCCGCTCTCGGAGGGTAAAGACCCGCCATCGCAAGCCGGGGAAGGGCAGCAGCGGGGACCTGGCTGGGCTGAAGGCAAATCAGTCTAATAGGGACGCGACTGCCCAGGCTAACAGCGGCAGCACCAACAGCTCCAAGCAGCTGCTGGAGCCGTCTGCAGCGCAGCAGAGGCAGCTCTCCTCCTCCAGCCCCGACCTCATCTGCACCACGCTCCAGGCGGAGGGGCAGGGGAAAGGGGAGCCCTCTGTGGGGGGGCTGGAGAGAGGGGGGAGCGTCAGTGCCTCTGCGGGGTTAGGGGGATCCGTGGCAGGGGCCGCCGGTCTGGATGATCTCACAGAAACGCCTCCACGCAGCGACACGCCGAGCGAGGACGCAGCGTCGTTCCCCTTCTCCAGCAGCCCAGACTCTCCGTGTGGGAGGGGGGCGGGAGCAGCGAGGGGGTCTCTGGGATCTCCACGTCATGATGGGGAGGATAAAGAGGAGGGGGCTGGGGCTGTGAGGCTACCCCGTGGAGCATCAGGGGGGATTGGGAGTCAGCACCTCACCCCCTCAGCCATTCTGTACAGAGCAGCTATCTCACGCAAACAGGTACCGAGCCGCCCAGCTGGTCACTTCCTGAGTGGTCCTCTGGTTATACTTTGGTCATTTTCAATTGTTCCTATTTCCTGTTTCTGACAGAGGCGTGGAGTGTCGTCCGAGGAGGAGGAGGGGGAAGTTGACAGTGAAGTTGAGTTACCACGGAGACGGTGAGTAACTTGCTGTCCTTCGTCACTGAAAAATGTCCTTGAGCAATCTTTCCTCTCTGGCAGAGTTTAAGATTTATTCCAAGGACAAGAATTTTTTCTTATTCACATCAAAACACATCATCAAATCTGTGATTCTTAAATCTTTAATATATTTCTGATAATAACCAATAAACACCACAAAGTCAATGCCCAAACCTGACTATTATTAGCTTGCTTGCCATGTGTTTAACCTCCGTGTGTTTTCCTTTGTTTTGAATATCTCCAGACGTCCGACTAGCATCACCAAGGGCCAGTCGGTGTCCACCTTCAGCTCAGAGAACCTGTCGGTGTCGGATGGCGAGGAGGGCCACACTACGGACCACTCGCACAGCGGCACCCCCGACGTGGTTAGCACCAACACAGACGACAGGTTGGACGATCGCAGCGACGACCTCCTCTCTCAGGGCTCAGAGATCCCGGCGGACAACGCTGACGGCCTGTCGGAGAGAGACGGAGCCCTGGGACCGGCCAAAGCTCCGCTGGACGCCGGGGGGAATCCTAATGAGGTGAAGAAGCTCGACCGTGGGGAGTTGCATGTTTCTGTGTCATCCTCTGAGACTGGTGTAAAAGAACATACTCCAAAAGCCAGTGGTAGAAAATGCAAAAAAAGTATACTTAATTTTAACCATGGGGCAAATGTGTACTTTGGCTTTTGACACCTTACAAAAAAGTTATGGTTTCTGGTTTGGACCCTTTCTCCGATTTGAGATGTCTATGAGTTCTCAGATGGTTACATTTAAAGTACAGTTTGAAACATAAAGATATACATTATTAAGGCTGGCCCTTCTTTGTACGTCAGTCGACAAATAGGTTGTTTTGGTGTTAATCAAATAACATTTCTTTAATCGATAAGTCATATTTTTAAAGGCTTGATTCAGGCTAAATAACTTTTTCAAATCAAATATTTACATTTCTCTTTGTAAACACTACATTTAAAGCGGTACTTGTGATGATTATTTTCAGAATTATTTTTTACAGAATTACAACAAGGAAAGACTTGATAAAAGTCCATAACACTTACCTATGATGTCTCCTCTTTTTGTTTTAAAAAACATTCATTACTTGACAACCCCCAGATTTATCTTGCGACCCCTATGTTAGGAACCACAGGGCAAAACTACCTGTCGGGGGTATCTGTTAGAAGGAAGCTAAAATCTAAAGCAGAAAGAAATGTAAGGTTAAAGGGGAGTTGTAGTGGACCGGTTAAACTAACAGGCTGTAAGAAGGTGTCAGGGGCTGAGGAGGTTACGGGTATCTGTTTCCTCTTTTTGTTTTAAAAAACATTCATTACTTGACAACCCCCAGATTTATCTTGCGACCCCTATGTTGGGAACCACAGGACAAAACTACCTGATTGTATGTAAAGTAGATAAACCTCAACCAGCTCGAAAGGAACAATTCTGCTAAATGCAGGACCTGTACTTTAAATGTAGCATTGTTGGAGATGTGACACAAGTAGATGGTTTGAATTCTGCTTTACACATCTCCTGCATGACATGCCCTCTCTCTCTCTCCAGAGCCGGGCCCTGTGTGATGACTCTGACTGCGACAGCGCAGAGCTGGACCAGCCGGGCAGCGGAGAGCCCAGCCGCCCCCCCGGCGCTGGAGCGTGGGTGCAGCCCCCTCTGCCCTACCAAGGGTCTCCACAGGCACCACACACAGCACCTCCATAGATAGCTGGATGCTAGCAAAGACCTCCAGCTCCTAGTGATGCAGTACATTACTGTTGTCATGAGGAATCACACCTACTTCACCACTCAGACTATGACAAGTCGACTTATGGTGTCTCATAAGTTTGTTGGATGGCATAGGACATTTGTCATAACCTGACATCCGATATTTTGGCAGCTTGTGACATCCGATAAATGTCATTGAAGTTCAGTAGGGTTTTTGTTTTAGGCAAAATAGTTACAGAAGTAACCTTAGCCACTGCTCCGGTTCAGCAGAAACCCAACCACTGACGCACACGCACGCACAAGAAACCACACTCGTTGTCCTTTAAACACTCTAATCCTCACTCTGGGAGCATCCTCCATGATACTCCACACACTTAATGCATCAAAAACTAATGAATAATAATGTAAATATCCATTACATACCACATGAGAAATATCTAACTTTATTTTATTTGTAAGATAGAAATGTAAGACTAAATGGTATGCAGCCCTGTGAACAAATGCATGACTACGTGTTTATAATTTATGGTTTGAATGTGTCCGTTTTATATTTTGTGAAAGTTTACACTTTTTTAATCCTAAGTATTACTTGAGGTTTTTTTGTTTTGTTAATAAATGTCAGCACTCAAGAAAAAAAAAAGGAATGAAAATCTCACCACGATGTCGATCATGATGCATAATTAGGATTCTCAGTAGGTAATATATTATTTTTTTTAACCCTCGTACTACTGAGTTATAAATATATAAAAGACATGGTTGAGGTTTTTTATTAAGCTTATCTTAGTGATGGGATGGAGAACATTTGTGTCACAAAAAAATGCACTTTTGCCATTACCGGTGTTGCTTCACCGGTTTCTCAAATTGTTGGCTATTTGATTGTGTCTCTTAGGGTGTGTTCATGTAATGAAATACACTAGCATTGGTAACCAAGGTACTATCTAAGCAACAAACACTGGTGCTCGTGCTTCAGTAAAGGAGACCCCTCCGATTTAGCATTGCACTCCTGTAACATTGTCAGCCTAACGAAGAACAGTTCAAGAAAAAAAGCGATCAAGAGGTCAAAATCAGTACGGCAGCACCAGAGATATGGTCTGCTTTATTCCACACATTATTACTTCTGGCGTCTACATTACCCACAATGCATCTCGGCCAAGAGCAGTTGTTTGGGGACTCCTTAAAGAATTGGTAGAAACCTTCTCTGTCCGAGCTCTGAGTTCACGTTAGTTGAGTTTTCCGGAAAAATGTATAATGTACACATACAGTCTGAGAACAGGTTATTTTTGGTTCATGCGTTTCTATAATTGTTATATTTGGTCTCCCACCTATGCACATGGAAATTGAGTCACTTTAAAATCCCATTTGGGCTTATTTTGTTTCAAGATACATTTATCTGACTACAGATGCCCCTCTTAAAAGATGTATCTTGTTGGACATGAAGCTGATATATATATTACCGCACTATTTAGTAGTGCATATTTTCCAATACAACTTAGTGTTGTTCAATTGTGTGCAGGAAGTATTTAGTCATTTAAAAATCTGCTGGAAAGTTTAGCCGTGGCGCTATGAAAGGAGCAAAAAGTATATCTTTGTATCGGTGATCACAAAAAAAAAATGTCATCCATGTTTGACCTTACAATTAGGCTTGAGATCTAAAGGTTGTGTAGGTTTAATCCTGGGGTTAAGGCAACCATTTGATGAATGGAAAACGTTAGGTTACTGTTTTGCTATCTTATCCAGGAGGAGAAAAGCCTATAGCAACAGAATCAGGATCAAAACAGTCACGGTCACACAGCCACAGTGGGATGTAAGGAACCCTTCAGGTCAAAAATACAAGTGTTTTGTGAGTCCCATTGGGCCAGAGTTTTGAGTTTGTGTTTTGCAAGTAGCAGCTAAGGTCGCCCTCCCATAGAGATGAAGCGCTAGCTACAGAGCTCTAATAAAGTCACCCATTACTAACTCCACACCTCCAGAATACTTTTCATTTTCGAAATGGTAGTCTTCAGAGTTGTATAAAAGAGAAAAGGAATTAAACAACTTTAAGTGTGTAAAATCTGTGGAGCTCCCCTTTAAGTAAAGAACCAAAAGGACTCCTGTAGTTCATGATGTTCCTGTTACCCTTTAAGACGCGGAGGTAGCCAGATAAGGAATAGAGCACTTCTGTGGTGGTTACTAGTCGTAAGTAAGTATCCTTTGGGTTTAAATAGAAATGTTTTGTTTTTATACAGCATTGCACATTGTACCTGTAACATAGGAATTATATCAAAGGCAAAAATATGAGCAACAATAAATGATGTATTGGTTAAAAAAAAAAAAGTTGTGTGATGTTTATCTACAGTAGTTTGTGCTGTTGCATCACATGAGACAGCTGAATGAGAAATAAACAACATTTTCAATGATTTTGAGCATGTCCAAAAGGTTCCCGTGTCTTTTCTTATCTTTTACACTGGGTTATTTAGAAAAAATGTAATCCCCCACGGGAAGAAGCCATGTTGGATTATTCATATATCTTGAGCTTGATAACGGGTTAATTAAGGTGTCAGCTCTCTTTAGAATAAGGAAACATCCCAACATAAAAATGAAAAAACGGATTGTTTAAGCATTTCACATCTTTTTTTTATTTCTGCATTTCATTTCTTCAACAATTGAATTGCAACCAGATCTACAATAGTTTGAAAACGTGCACAAAAACGTGAGTTTCTTCATCCTGCAAAGAATAATAAAAAATAAAAATCTGACCCAGGCAAAAAAGGATAGCAGGAAACTAGTGTTAATTCTATAATTCTCCTTCTAGTTAATCATAATTTAATACCTCAGCATAATATACTTATAAAGACAAATGTGTCTTGTAGTTTTGCCCCTTGCAGCATTCCCCAGCCCTGCAGTTAAAAAAAATATTTTCTCTATTTAAAACAAACATTTCAATGTTATTATTATCATCATCATCATCATCATCATTACTATGGTCTTAGTAATTTCAGAGAAAAGAAAATATTTTCCTCTCATTCAGGCCCACACCTGGTGACCAAGGCCCACCCACCCTTATCAGAATCCAATACACAACAATGCTCAAAAGTCCTGATCGAGAAATCAAACGGATGGAAACACAGGAATGACACAAAACAATTACTCAGCAAATTAGAGGTGAGACAAAACGTAGCATAAAATTTGCGTTTGAACCCGCCCTCACCGAGGGATAAACTACCTTCTACGTTTTTCCTGCATACATCTTCACCTGGAGATCATTCACACCCACTGAAACCCGTTAAACCCACAATGCCTCATCAGGAAGTACAGCTTCAAATAGAAGATGGCAAATATCAATGAATTCTACTCTTACACAGAGCTGTGTATTAAATAAAAATAAATAGATATTTAAAAAGGGAGAGAACAGTCCATCTATAATGTTATGGTGTCTTTTTTCTTCATTTTTTGTACATTTTCTAAGAAAAATCTGACATAAGAAAAACATTATTTATGCCTTTCCAGATTTTTCCAAAACGTTTTACCTATATCAAGAAGTTCATACAGATATACAGTAAAATAAGAGGAAAAAATACAACAGAAGTCTTTAAAAACTATATGCAAAGGGGATTTAAAAACATAATAAATAAATAAAATACCGATATCATGATGATGGGGTAATTACAACTGAGTAGGTGTGTAACCAAAAAGAGGAGAAAACAGTGAGTTTATAGTACTTGGTTTTTGCATTAAGTTCAATAAGGGACCTCTTGGTAAAAAGTAGGGGGAGGGGTTACGTTAGGTGCTGATGAAGATCCTCCGGTCAGTTGGCTGCGAGTCCAGTAGCTTCAGAAGAGAGCCTGAGGAGCACAACACAGAACAAGAAGCGTTAAATTCCTTCATATTTCATTCTAAATTGTTATTTATTTGAATTTTCTGCAGGATATCCTCTCTTTTCACAAGCTACCCTTTGCAATAACAAAAGTAGCCCCAACATGATGAAGTGAGACAAATATTGTATTATTCACTTCCTCCAGACATTTTGGTCCCGTCCAAATGGGACCTTCCGCTCGTTCTCGCTAATGCTCTGGCAATAATAAACACATTCAATATTTCCACTCTAATCCCGTGATTAACCAATAACAGCTACATTTTAAAGCCCCTTTCATACAGATTAGTGCAATTTAGAGATTTAAAAAACGGCATGCAAGACAGAAAACAACAATAAAAGTGTTATGTTCACTTTTTAAAATAAGATATTAAAAAAATGATGATGGTATAAAAAGATGTGATTATTGATTACTAGGGTTGCAAAGGGGCGGAACCTTTCCATAGGTAGTCAAGCTGGGGAATTTTGGAAATATTCCATATTGGAAACTTTCCACGGGAACTATTGGAACTAACTGGGAATTGAGGGTAACTGTATCGTATCAAGCATAAATATAAACATTTTGTTTTTTCATAAGAAAACATCCATGCAAAATGACACAATTGAAAAACATGACATCTCAACAGATGTATTTGTAAGTAGAACAAAAACATAAATGTTGAGTTAAATATTACTCATCCCCCCCAAACCCCACTCATTCAAAAATGTGCTTTGGGCTCAAAAGTGTGGTCCAGTCTTCTAGAAATCATGTGTGCATGTGATGGAGGAATGCACAGTGCCTGTAGGGGGCGTGGTCTCAATAGCCATGCAGTAAGTTGTGTGCTATGCATGTCATTGAGGAATGGCATGGATATTCAAGTGTACTTGAATGGCGTCTGTTTGTTTTAGTCACGATTAAGCTAAAATATACTTTCTCCAACTTTATTTAAGTTCCCTATGAAGAGCCAAACTTCAATTTGGAAAAATCCCAGTTTATTCCAATGGAAATTTTCCATCTTTGAAAATTCCCGGAAATTTGCAACCCCTATTGATGACACATGAAAGGCGAGTTGTTACAAAGTGTAATCTCAGTTTCTTCTTGGTTATACCCCCCCAGTAAAACATGGTGATGTCTAGAGTGTTTAAGTTTCTGATAGACAGTAAGCCTGTTTCTGTATTAGTGCTGCTCTGTGAGGAGGTGTTGCCGTCGCATAACGCCTCTTACCTGGCATTGATCAGGTACTCGGCCAGGCTGATGCTGGCGTGGGAGCCGGTGATGGTGACCTGCCTGTCAGTGGAGCCCTCCACAGGGTTGGCAATCTTGATTTGAGCCCCTGACATCTGACGGATCTCATTGATCTTTGCGCCCTGACGGCCAATAATGCAGCCAATGAGCTGAGGGAGAAGAAGAAAAACGTAGGAACAATAAGCACTTTTAAGAAGAGGAACGATACAAAACAAACTTCTTAAAAGTGGCGCCATGTTTTTCTGCAAACTGAGTAAATGATGAGATGAATGCCACTTACATCGTTTGGAATGGTCAGCTCATGAGAGCCAGTTTGTGCAGAGGCGTCCATCCCAGCTGAAGAAATGCAAAGAAAGTGTTGACTGAGTGGATCGCTACAAATCTATATTAATCCAATATCCTCTTTCAATCTGTCTACCTACCCTGGAAGCCCTGGTTGCTATGTGCAATGGGGAAGGGGCTCTGCTGCATGGCCAGCTGGTGAAGTTTGGTGAGCTGCGGAAACAAAGGAGGGGAGGACACGGAGAGCAAACAAACCGAAACATGAGCGACAATCAAGAAGTGATTACAAAGTAGAAATCTGGAAATTCAGTGGTTGTAGTGAGGATGAGAAGAAATATGAAATGGAACATGGAGCTCATGATTTAGCCTAAAAGGGTATAAAAAAGGTTTTGTTGTTAAAAAGTTAAATAATGTTTGAAATTGTTAAATGGGTATCAGGCAATGGGAGATGGGAGATGAAGAGTCAGTGGGATGAAGTAAGAAAGTGGCATGGCTCCTGAGGACCGAAGATTCAAATATATTGGATCACTTACAGAGGGCCCTTCACTTACATCAGGCTGAGGAATGGCGTGCTGCCCTTGGACAGCGTATGCCTGCAAGGAGAGAACAGCTCTTAGGAGGGTGTGGCAGTGTCACAGTGTGCTCAAATATCCATCAGCCCTCTGTCCTTGGTGTGCCACAAGAACAGGTACGGACAGTGCATAAACTGGGTATATGCAGGAATCCTGAAGTCAAATGTAATGGACCTTTTTTAAGATCCTTTCCATACATTTTAAGATCTCATCGCCACCTCGAGTTTTAACCGGTTACATTGACACACTTTACCTCACATTTGCTATATATATATATATATATATATATATACAGTATTGATTGTCCTTCCTCCTTATCTTCCAACCATTTGGACGCAAACTAGCATTTCCCCATAACGATGTTGTTTAGCAACCGGCGTAAACAGACCTTCGCTCGCTATCAAGCAGTGAGCGTGCGATGTCCTGTTGAGATGACGTCAAATCCAACGGGATGCCATAAATAAACTACACAGAATCACACTACACACCTACGCAATGATTACATTCAGGCAGACTGTAGAATACAACCTCTTTGGACAATTTATATACTTATTGAAAACAAGCTACAAAATGTAATACCTTGGAAAATGCCGTTTAATACTTTTTAATAGCCTTACATTTGTAATCGACTTTTAATACTTTTTAAGACCCCGCGGACACCCTGTTAAAACACTATGATGATAGCTTGAGGATAATCAAATTCCTCCGACCAGAAGAGCTTCAGTAAAATGTGAGAATATTTCCCCCGAAACAGCAGACACTAACGGGACAAAAATAGCACACACAACAGATTTAGAGCACAAACAAAGAAGTGTTGTTTACCTGACCACCTGCAAAGATGACAGGAGAGCCTGAGGGTTTGGGTCTGTACGGGATGGTCACTCCCTTTGGGGGAGACTAAGAACACAGAAATATCACCATTAACTATTGAAGTCACATCAAAGGTACCACAGAATATAATAAACCATCAGAAGTATCCATACGGCTTTGGAAGAAAATCAAGCACTTTCAAGGTACCTAAACAACAAAGACTCCAGAAGCTCAAATCTAAAAATTGTAACGACAGATGTAACTGGGAAAAAAATCTGTTTCTTTTAGTCATCAGTCATTGTACATTTTCACTTATTTACACAGCTATTTATAGCAACGGATTGACGGGTGTGATCATGATTATTTAATGATTAGCTAGCTGTGTCTGGTGTGAGACGTGAGGAGATTTCATCTATTAAAAGAGTCACTTATGTAAGTGGTTGCGTATATGAAACACCAGATTGTGTGGGAAATCAAGTATTGTTCCAAGTGGGACATTTGATTTGCAGGCAAATTCATTTTACTTTCATGTTGCGGAGGAATTCAGTTTACTGCATTTTGGCTTCATTGGATAAAACAGATATATTTAAAAGTAGTTGGCATGCAGCAAAGGACCACAGGTTGGATTCGAACCGAGACCACTGCAGTAAGAAGTCATCGTGGGTCTATAAGGTGAGTTGCCATGGTGCCC